GCAGTGCTAGCGAGCGTAGTACTGCTGAGCCTATAAGTATGATACTGTTTTTTTCTCCCAAGGTGTAGTACCCTGCACTTCTCGAGTGCAATCCTTCTGGGCTGTGGACTTACAGATATCAAGCCTCTTGAGGTGTTCTTTCACTTGATCTACGTCAATTGTGGGCCCATCTCCTGAGCCGTGGATGCTTTGCATCTTGTCTGACAGCATGACTTCCTTGGGTGGGTGGAAAACAAAGTAATTGTTTAGGAGATTGGCCTTTTCTTGGGCATCATACATCAGCTGCCTCATTTGATCTCGCAGGAAGCCAGTGTTGCTTTTGTTCTTCCTCCAACTTCCCACATATCTGAAGAACAACTTTTTGTTATCCTTGATTCCAGAGGCTAGCCTGAGTTTGGCTGCAGCGGCTTTTCTGGACCGCTCCCTACAGGTATGGGCTAGTGCTGAGTAGTCCTCCTCGGTGATGATTCCTGTTTTCCATCTGGTGTAGGCTTCTTTTTTTTGTTTCAGGAGATCAAGCCCCTGTTGAGCCAAGGGGGCTTCCCTGCCCTCTAAATGCATTTCCTGTGGGATGGGATGGACTTCCCTTGCACTTTGAGAATTGAGTTCTTTAGAAATAACCATTTCTCATGGACTCCATTTCCTAGAGTGCCTGATTGACCAGTCTTCTGAGTTTGTGGAAATCAGCCTTCCCAAAGTTGAGGATTTCTGTTTTGGTGAGGGATTTGCCCACCCTGCATTGGACAGAGAGAGTAATCAGATCTTGGTCGCTGTCACCAAGCTTGCCTTTGATCTTCAGATCACTCACCAGATCATCCCCTTTGGCCAGAACCAGATCAAGCAGTGCCTCTCCCCTAGTTGGCATGTAGACCTCTTGCATCAGGTACAGGTCGTCAATGCAGGTAAGGAAGTTACGTGACCAGTCAGACCTGGCCATATGCTCTTCCCACAAGATGTCAGTGAGGTTGAAGTCTCCCATGATGATCATACATCAGGAACGTGCAGCCTTGGCCAGTTCCCTGTTGAATTCAAGATCCAGTTCTCCTTTATTAGAAGGTCTGTAATAGACTCCTACAAGGATATCTCCTTTCTCTTCCCCATGCTCCCCCCTTCCCCATACTCCCCCCATATTTTAGCCCACAGGGTCTCAAGGCACCCTCTGTGGTTAATGAACTCAGTTTGAAGGGAAGTGTACTGTTCCTTGACGTAGAGAGCTACACCCCCACCCCTCTTTCCAACACGATCTCTCCTGTAGAGGGTATAGCTTTCTATATCTACCGACCAGTCGTAGGAGGAGTCCTACCAGGTTGAGGGCATAATCATTATCAGTCAGAAGGGGCAGCTCCTCTTGCTTGTTACCCAAGCTCCTGCCGTTTGTGTATAGGCAGTTATTCAAGGCTGCCATGGGAAGCCCTGGGCTTCCTTATGTGATGGCATGTGACCTTTCCTTGGGCTGTTATCAGAGTGGGTTCTCTTGGGCTACCCAAGCTGTTGCTACTGTGAGCAGCATGACCTGGGCTAAATATGTTGATTGACCACCCGTTCCCCAGTGATCTTAGTTTAAAGCCCTGTCAAGTAGGTCAGGGTTTCTGACTGAGAAGAGGTGGAGGCCATCCTTTCCCCAGTTCTTTGCAGTGGGGAGCTGCATGCCTGGCCCAGCTGCACGGTGCAGTACCCATACATGCAGGGGCCTGCGCTTGTTGCTCATGCTCTGGCCCAAGCAGAATGGAGGCAGCTGGAGACTCCCTCTAGCAGGGCCGGGGTGGGAGGTGGGAGCAGGGGACAGCAGATTGGGTGTGAGGGCACTAGCATGGCTCAGGAGCAAGGGGGCTGTGGCTTGGGGGTGAGGGGCACCAGCAGGATTTGGGGGTGAGGGTTGGGTACTGGTAGGGCCAGTGGGGTGTGGGTCGAGACAAGCCATTAATCTTGGCAAATGGGTCTTGCTATGAAAAAGTTGAGAACCACTGCATTAAAGCACACCATGTAGACATGCCCATTGATAGTAATCGTGAATACTGTTAACTGATAGTACTAGTAGGCTCCTAATCTGTTCAGCATAGACCCACCGCTACAGGGCAAAAAACAACATTGTATTACAGTTGCATCAGAGATAGGAATGAATTTGGCCCCCAAATTGAATGTGAGCTGTTAGTTGAAAAGAACTTTTAAAAATCAGGCAGTTTAGATGCATGCTTTAGAAACTCAAAAGCCAATGTTAGGCTCCTAATTTTGAAAATCTTGGCCTAGATCTCCTGATTTCCAAGTCAGTGCCTTAACAACAATGCAGTCCTCCTCTGCCTTGTGTAAATGCAATTTGTAGTCAATGTAAAAAAGAAGCCTAATGAAACAATTCTTATGTTCAAGACAGGTAGTGGGAAGGTATCCTAGAAGATCTGCCTTAAATTACCATATTTTAATCTTTCAGGTACTTTTTGGGGAGCATATCCCCATTCTTTGGCTTTGTTCATCCACGGGCTATCTTTGAATTGCACCATTTTATTGTCTACATTGCTGGAATACCAGCATATGATCTAAGCAAGCAAATAAAGAAGCTGAAAGATGGGCAAAAGATAAAGAGATACAGAACTCCATTGAATTACCATCAACAGTAGCCTTGAATAAAAACATGCTATAGTGTAATGTATCTACACGATCTACAAGAGAGGAAATAGTCATTTTCCTTCTCTGATTCGATCCACAGGAGTCCAGGTTCTAGACTTAATCAAATATATATAAACATGTACAATTTAAAAGCTCACAAGCTTTGCGGAGCAAAGTAAACATTATTAGTCTTCTGAGCTGGATTTGGAAGGAAAAAAGTTTTCAGAACAATGTCTGATGTTAAGCCCCCCTCCCTGAAGTTTATTGCATAAGCCAAAAAAGAGAGCCCATTCTTTCTAACAATGCCCTTTCAGCTACTTTGATTCTAAAAATAAAAATGTTTGATAGCTTTCCAAATGAAGAAGGTGAAAACAGTAATTTCCAGCTTTTCTATACCTCCTTTGCTATACCCATATTACAAAAGTACAGTAGCCAGTAGATGAAGTCAGATTGTTTTTTCCTGCCTTGTATATTTAAATTCCCTTTCACTTATATTAAGTCTGAACAGTCAGAAATATTAAGACTGCTGAAAGATTAACTCAGTACTCTTCATGACTTAGTAAGCATTCAGTGTGTCAGTGTTTTCCCTGTTGGACCTGGTGACCCCAAACCAAAATGCCTCAGTAAAGCAGGCAAAGCCTGTTTGAATGGCATCCTGAAAAGTATGTAGAAGTAGTTTACTACTTACTAAAGATGAAAACTTTTGCTTATAGCTACTAAGGCTTACAGTTTACCTAATATTATATACATAGTGGGTGCATTTACACATTCATTAATGCAGTGTAGTTACTGCTTATTAAGTTTAGTACTCGGTTAACCAAGTCCTAATCAATTTGCAGTAACTTGTGCTACTGTGCAGTAGCACTGGCACATGGGTTTTAGCGATGCTTACTGTACAGGAGCCTAATATTACTGTGCAGTAGAGTATTAGCATGGTTTTTGCCAGGCACGCTACTGCACAATGTTATTAGACTATGGTGCAGTTAGTGTCTCATGTAGATGTGCCCTCAGATACCTAGTCTTAGGTTAAAAGAATCGTGATGGGTTTTCTACATTGAACCACCACCTTGCACTGGGAAGAGAAACTGTGGTGTATTATGGGAGATGAAATACGAGGAAACCCAAACAACCAAAGAGAATGGGACTTTGGAATGGGAATGGGAGGGACTCCCCATCTTACTGAGGTAAAAAAATGGGGAAAAAATAATAAATTCCTGTAATGTCTCATCATATCTGATAAATAGTACACAACTTCTATAAGACATCTTGCAGGAAATGTCCTATCAAAAGTGGAGAAGATATGAATTCTGTTTCTGAGATGTACTGACTGAAAGCTGGACTGGATTTAAATAAAGAAAGAAAGAAAGAAAGACCCCAAATGCCTGAAATCTGGAGGTTTTTTATTTATATGCACAACAATGGTGTCTCAACTTTCGACATGTGAAAATGGGACTTAGACTCCTTAAGTCACATTGGCATTTTTGCAAAGTTTACCTCTGGTGTGTCCTGTTTTATCTCAAAAATGCCATGAAAGAGAAGAGAAGTACAATTATAACATTTCAAAGCACTGAGGAGGGAAAACCTCATTAAGAACTCAATTGCTAGCTACTTTACTTCCTCTATGTGAGTTCCCTGAAGTGCTGGTGTTTGCAGAAGGATATAGAGAGCAGCTGCCAGAAAGTGGAGTCTTGGCTCTGTCCCCAATATACCAGCCTGATGAATTGGCACAGAGGTGGAGATAACTGATGCCAGGAAAAGGACTAGCATAGTTTGCTCACTCCACGGAGCAAACCAGGATCAGGTCTGAAATTGTGACTTTAGGTTAAAATGTGATCTCTTATTTAATTCTGTGTTACTGAGACTATGATCCCTACTTGGGTTGTAAGGTGTCAGTCTGGATCTTCTTTAGACTTTTTACATTTGGATCAAGTCATAGGGCAGGAGCTGAGGGTAGATCTAGGGTTTCCCAAAGGGGGTGTGGGAGCAGTGACTGCTCCCAGCCTCCTCCCTCCCTACCTGTGTGGGTAGACAATGCTGCCAGAGCCTCCAGGGACTTTTTAAAGTTCCTAAAGCTGGTGAAAAATATGAATTTCCCCTTCATGCTCAGAGGCATAGTCCTTTCCTCCCCCCTGCTGCCTACTGCTGGCAGGGGCTTGAACCAAGATCTTCCATTGGCTAGAAGAGTGCTCTAAACTATGGGCTATAGGGCAAGTCTGGGATGAGCTCTTTCAATCTCTTCCATTTGTACTAGTTAGTTCACTTTCTATAGAACAATTAAATAGACATTAAGACAGTATGAAAATAACTAATTCCTGATGATCTAGGACACTCAGTTCTGAGAGAGTCTCAATCTCTTCTGTTGACATGCTAATTAAACATTTGTTAAAGCACAAATTGGAACTATCTCCTCCCTTCTTCCTGATTATTATTTGTTGTTGTTGTTAGGGCATTCATGGGGGTGATGTAGGTTGAAATACCTTAAGTTGTAGGAGAGAATTGAATTTGTCCCTCCCAAGTTCTAACTCCAAAACTCTACCTCCTTCCACAGATTTGTGAAAATCAAGCTTTTCATTTATTTTGTTTTCGTTACAGCTGCTCAAAGTGAAATGCTTTGTTTCAAGAATTAAATTTTGTGGGGGTTTTGTTTTGTTTCAGTGTGAAAAAACAAAAAGGTTAAATCTTGGTTTGGGCTGAACTATTTGTGTTGGTTTTTTTTCAGTTTGGTTGCTGAGTCAAAAGAATCAGTCCTAATCTGGAAATTTGTAGCATTCTTCTGGATTAGAATAGCCTTTTGTAGCTTCAGAAAATCCTCCTGTTAGCCACATCCTCCTCCTTAATAGCATAGGCATTCAGGTCACAGCAAAGAACAGAACAAGTTCTTATTGATTAGGCTTACAGAGACACTTCACACTTTTCCTCATAATAGGGAAAATATTTTGATGAACAAATACTCAAAAGCTTGGGAGCTAACTGACATTTGCCTGGGAGGCTTGTTTCTCATCAACAGCCTGAATATACATTGCCAGCTTGTGATAAAGAGCAAGCCTTGCAAGGGAAGGTTGCACCACCATGCTGGTGGGAAATGCAAACCTGGATGATTATGGGAGCAAGTGGAGCTAATGAGACAACAGGGAAAGTTCAGAACAAGAAAATTGCATCATAATCTAGTCTTCATCAAGGTTTACTTTAAAGTATCCCTCCAGGGCTGGATGACTATTGGATACATTAGAGGGGAAGAGAACCTGAGGAAGAGAAGACAGGAATGACTGGAGAAAACACAATGATCCCTGCATGGGTCATTGTAGTTTGTGGGGTTTTTTGTTTATCTATGGATAGATAAATACATACATAAGCAGATGTATAGCGTATGCTAGTGGGATTATTTTATGTTTATATCAAAAATTGCACCAGCCAAGTACATCTTTCTTTGGTCGTTCTCTTATAGTCCTGACAGCTCTTCTGTCTTTAGCCTTTTTTTGCAGACCTAGTTCAGCCCACATTCTCAGGAAGTGTTCGCTGGAACTTGTGCATTACTTGATTATCGAGATTAACTTATCTTTTCTTTTTTCCACTAAAGCACTAAGCAGCTCTTACAGAAATGTAGGTGTGTTTGAGAATTATAAGAGTCTTTAATTCTCATACCAAACTACACCCACAGAAGTCAATTCCAGTGCCAGTGATTAAAGGTCATGTGAATGGCAAAAAGTAACAGGTAAGCACCTCATTTTGTTACTAAGAATAACTGCATTGGCAGCACTGGCTTATTACAAAGAGAGCTAATAGCATGCTCAGTAAAATCCTTTTCTTTCCTTGTATTTGTTGGTGTAAATCCTTACCTTGGTACCTACACAGAACAAACCCCTTTAGAAGAAAAAGAGGTCAAAATTTGTTTGATTACTGGTGGTTTTGAACAATCAGGTGCATGAGGCCTAGTCCCCTAATGAGGGACCAGCTAATTATTTGCCTTAGGAGCTTAGGAAATTGTTTAGTAGTAAGATTTTAAATGAGAACTGTCCAGTTTTCTATGGTTTGGTTCATAAAATCACAGAATCATAGAACCATAGAAACTTAGGGTTGGAAGGGACCTCAGGAGGTCATCTAGTCCAACCCCCTGCTCAGAGCAGGACCATTCCCAGGAACTATATCAGCCCAGCCAAGGCTTTATCTAATTTAGGCTTAAAAAACTCCAAAGATTTTTTAAGATTCCAAAACCTTTTTGGGTAACCTCTTCCAGTGCTTTTACTACCATCCTAGTAAGAAATGTTTTCCTAATATCTAACTTGAACTTTCCTTGCTGCAACTTGAGACCGTTACTTCTTGTTCTGTTATCTGCCACCACTGAGAACAGTCTAGCTCCATCCTCTTTGCAATGACCTTTCAAGTAATTGAAGGTTGCTATTAAATCCCTCCTCAGTCTTCTCTTCTCCAGACTAAATAAACCCAGTTCCCTCACCCTCTCCTCATAAGTCATGTGCCCCAGCCCCCTAACTATTTTCATTGACCTTCACTGGACTCTTTCCCATTTGTCCACATTATTTCTGTAGTGAGGTGTCCAAAACTGGACACAGTACTCCAGATGCAGCCTTATCAGTGCTGAGTAGAGGGGAACAATCACTTCCCTGGATCTGCAGATAGTGCTCCTACTAATGCAGCTCAGTATGCTGTTAGGCTTCTTTGGAACAAGGGCACATTGTTGGTTCAAATTCAGAGATCGTCCACTGTAAACCCCAGGTCCTTTTCTGCAGAGTTGCTGCTTAGCCAGTCAGTCCCCAAATTGTTTTGTCCTCAATGCACATGTCCAAATTGAACCTCATGAGGTTTCTTTTGGCCCAGTCCTCCAATTTGTCAAGGCCTCTCGGAATCCTAGCCCTACCCTCCAGCATTTCTACTATTCCACCCATCTTAGTGTCATCTACAAACTTGCTGAGGGTGCATTCTAGGACTGTACACTCTTCTTCATCAAACTTATCTTTGACTAGCTGAACTTCCTAATCATTTTAGTGCCTCATGTTCTCAACATACTTTTTTCCCCTTTATAAGAAGATAGGGACTTGCCAGGGACACAACCTCTCTCACTTACTGTTATGAAGGATATTCTTAGTTTTTGTAAAATGTGAGTTGAATTGCACAGTCAGGCAATTTCTTAGTTTAAAGACTGAAAACAAAGCTAATTTAAATGATTTGGGACAGCAGCCAACAGGACTGCTCATCAGAGCTCTATCCCCATACATTAAGACTGTCACAGAGAATATTATATCACCTCAAAATGATGCTTTGTCTCCATTGCTATACTGTGGGTGCACATGAGCAAACATATGCAGTTTGCAGCACCGCAAACTGCTGGGGGGAAAGGGGCTGCAGACCCAGGCCGTAGTGCAGACCCAGGCCGTAGTAGGTTTCCAAATTACTTTAAAATTGTAAACATACTAATAAAACATTGTGTTCCACTGATACCTATATATATAGTGGCATTTAATTTTAATCATGGAAAAATGTGGATTTGGGGGGTTTTAATCAGAGAATTGTGATTTTTAAACAGAGAAAACTAGGATCCCTGTCATGAATAAATCCGCGTATGGGCATTCTTATCTTGTATGCACCATGATTTTGCTCTGAATATCTCCGTGTAAGAACAAAACCTTAAAAGTTTTCTCTTTTAGTGCATGGATGGCCTGCTCGGTTCTATTTTGTTGTCTTTTAAGCTGTTCCATCTCCTAAAAGAGGAAGTGAGATTCAGGCTGGCATGACTGATCCCATTTAACCTGTTTCCTTATGAATTTTTTTTCCCAAAGCTGGCTGGACACTAAGAAGCAAGGAATTAACACTGATAATGGCTTTATGGCATATTGTAATCTACCTGATTCCTGAGTTTTTTCCATATGCGAAAGGTGAGAATGACTCTCTTCTCTCTTGATAAGCTTTGGTCTCCCAGGAATCAGCTTCTTTTCTTCCACCCATTGTTTGTCTGCTACCCCTGGGAATTTCTCTCCCCTCCCCCACCAACAAATCTTTTTGACTATGCTCAGCTGGCTTGTTCTGCATAGGCCTCATGTCTTACTTTTCAAAGCTTGTCTAACTCATTCTCAGCTATACAGTTGGTCCAATAAAAGGTATCATGTTAAGAAATCCTAGCCTCTTTAGTGTCATCTTTCTATATTTGCAAGCAATGGCTATGAGAAGTATGGTCTCTGCTTGTGATTTTAGTTCTGAGGCATAATAATAACATTTTAAATGTCATCGCTAACTTTCATTAGTGAAGCCTCTGGGCAGAGATCAGGAACTGAGAGTTGCTATGAGGAAGAAGTCAAAGGGATGTATGAGAGAAAAACATTAAGATGGGTGAAGGTATGTAGGGGAGGTGAAGAAAAAAGACAAAGAAAGGCAGACAGGAAATGAAGAGCAATAAAGGGTTGGAGCATATTCTCACGCTGAGTGAGAAGGCTATGCAAGTAAGGCATTTAACTAAATAACTAAAAGTATAAGTAATTGCTAAAGGTCACATACCACTCTTACATTTTATGAAACCATCCTCTTAACAACTATTCACTTTGGACTGAGTAGCACAAAGTCCTGAATTTATACCAAGGACTGTGCACTATGGCCTGGAATTCATCCTTCTCCCCAGAACAAATCTGACATTGTTGTTCAATTATGAACAATGAGTCTACCTCAAAGCCCTTGTGGTATTTTTTATATGTTTATGTATGTTTTCTGTATGTAGTTATGTTTAATAATACCAAAATGAAATCTTATCTTAGCTGGAAGTCATGGCCAGTAGCACTCAGTAACAATGCTTAGACCAAGTTTCAAGCAAACTAGGATGATTGATCACAGCACTCTCATTGGTCATCCTTCCCACTTCCCTCTGCCTCCTACCATGTTTATCTACACTGCTTTGGTGGTCTAGTCAGTCCTGGTGGCATAGTACATGATAGCTTCCTGATGACTGCCAAATCTACTGCTCTGGTCTCAATTGGTGGGGTGGTACCAGTAATTATACTTCTCTCCTAAGGCCCAATGCTGTTATGACATGAAGGTTAAGTTGCTATTTTGAAAGAAAACAAACTTCACTGAATCTTTGGTCAGGGCTGACACATATAAGCTGCCTTCTACCGAATATTCAGTAGCAGTGATAAATAATTATAACAATAATTAAAACTGGGCTCAATAGCATTGTCTCACATAACTGAGAAGTACAACTCCCTTTGTTACGCATGTTAGTGGATGAAACTTTATGGCTTTTGTCATGCAAGAGATCATGAAGGTCATGGTGGGCTAGAGGGGTACAAGCCGTAGGTGCTGCCTAAGATGGGGTTCCAGAGTGGAGAATGGGGGTGCTTCAGTCTCGCATCCACTACTCCCCTGCAACCATCCAGCTTCAGCTTCATCTGGAGAGGAGAAGCAGCAGTGCAAGAGCATGTGTTAATGAGTGAAGGGAACAAATGTAGTTCTGTTGGGCAGCAATGGATGATGTGCAGCACAAGAGTTGCAGCTAGGGTTTGCTGGTGCTTGGGTGGAGCTGAGACTGCCCACTGCCAGAGCCTCTGAAGCCAGAGCTCTACAAAGAAGGTGCAGAGGAAAGAGGGGGAGTGGGGGGATTGCCCTGGGTACACTCCTGGCCACTTCTATTAATGTTATTCAGTATTCCCTCTTGACTAATTTTTTATCACTATTGTGAGACGTGCACTGGCGTGTTAGCAGAGGCACAACTGATAAGGGTCACACCCTGGGCTAGTGCTTCCTAAACCTAGTGGGTGCTCTCATGCCTCCTGTTGCAGCTGCTGGTCACTCTCATTGTTGAGTGTTGCCAATTGCTATCATGGCAATGGACAATGGTGAATCTGGAGGCAAGAAAAGCAGTGTCTGCGGTTGTGGGGTTTGAAAGTGGTGCCCTACACCTGGCACCACTGCATTACCCACAGGCTGCTGGCCTCACTAACACTTCAGTCCACAGCAGCAGTGTTATCCACTGAGGTCAGGGGGGCATGGGGCTGACAAGGGGATTAGGGCTCCTGGAACATCATCCCCATGAACCCCCATCTGCCCTACTCACTGCAAGCAACTCCTTCCCTGACTCCATGTGGCCAGAGCCTTAAGCACCACTGCCCCAGGTCCTGATCCCTTCCCTGTCCTCCACCCTGCATCCCTGAGTGCCACTGACTGCTGTCACTGGCAATGGGCAACAGTAGATTCAGTAGGAAGAGAAGTGCAGTAGGATGATATAGAGTCTCCAGGTACCCTGTTCTGGCACCCCTCTAAGTCAACACTGAGGGTTTGTACCCCACTCACCCACCTCTGGTTATGCTACTGGCTGTTAGGATGGGCAGCAGGAATGCTGTAGTTATACCCTCACCATAGTCTACTGGCAATATACAGAGACTGAGACAACTGATAGTAGATCACAACTGAAGAGAGAATTGCCCATTGGAATGGAAACAAAGATTTTCCTTGAGCTTCTTTTAATATCAATGCATCTGGGCTAGTTCTGTGTCAAAATTTATATGATATTTTCATTGTCATTCCACGAACTCCTGCAAGGAAAATGCAACTTTATTTTTTACTTCACTACTTCAATTAGGTTTTTTCTAATAATTCAGAAATTCTGTTTGCTTAGTCACTTAAAGATCTATTTTTTCTCCTTTTTTGATTGGCCCAAGTAATGGTGGGAAGGAGGGAAAAGGAAGAAAGACCCAAGATTTCAGGTTGTTTTTTTTTAGTTGAAATAAATGTTTACTTTGTGACTTCTGGTAGTCTCTTTTTTTTTTTTTGGCTAGGTGGAGCTTTTTATCTGTAAGAAGCTGTATAGCAGGAGAAAAACATGGCTGCTGGGAGTTGGATCCCATAGCAAGAAAACCTATCTCTCTCTCTCCCCCCCCTTTTTTTTGTCAAAATGGGCCAGCAGCAAATGTGAGAAATCTGAACTAAAGCTGTTTGGTACAGAAGTACTCATGTGAATTTGTGTAAGATAGAAGATATGGTTGTTGCTGACTAATATCTGATATGACAGGTTGCAATTATAGGCCTCTCAGAGCAATCTCTGCTTTGAGCCTCATTCAAATGAAAAAAATCACAAGTATTTTAGAGTTTGCATTGTGTGGACCTGATCATTGTTTTCCGTGAAAAGTGGTGAAAAAACTGGATTAAGCATGGCTTAAAATCCTATTATTACTGCTCTCAGTGATTAAAAAAAAGTACCACATTGGGTGTATTTTGTATTGTGTGAAAGCTACTGCCTCATATGATGAGAAGAAAAAATGTTAATAGTGTAACGTAAGTTCGTTTTGTTTTGTGTTGAACCTGAAAAATACTTATGTCAAATGCAGTAAGTCTGGAGACAAAATGTTAGTGGTTTTCTCCATAACCCTGATGATAAACTGTGCTTGCAAAAAGATTTATTTTAGGTTTTGATTCTCATGTCCTTTCACCTCTCTTTGATTTATAATAAAGCTCCCATCAGTGCCCCCTGGTGGGACCATGCAGAAACAGTCATCTTCCTAGGAAAGTGGTTAAGCAGTAGCAAGGTTACTGACTAATAGCGGAGTAACTTCATGTGTCAAGCCTTTGAAGCAAGCTTGGTCAGTTATTCCCACACTGCATTTTTCTTGCATGTTTGAATAGGAGGTATTCATAGTGAAGCACCATCAGTCCGAGACCAATAAATAAAGGGGTGAGGCGAGAGCTATATAAAGGAATGTAGTCCACTGAATCCCTCTTAGTTCCTCAGACTCCCTACGTACTTGAACATTTGGCTCCTTTTCCCAGTTCAGGAGCTGTACAAAGCCACAGAATACCACAGATACCAGATTAGACCCAGATTCTCCTCTTGGTTACATGAGCAAATGGGGAGTCATTCCAGTGAAGCCAATAGACTGATTCTTGGTAATACACTGATGCAACTGGCTCGCAAAATTAGTAGGAGCCTAGTTTGCTCAAAAAATAAATAAAAGAAACAAAACTAAAACAATAATTAAGTCCACATTTTGGGTGCTATTTAAAGACTTCAGTTCAGTCTCCAAATTTGTGTTGGCAATTTTATACCTCTTTTTGTGTGTGCACAAACAATTGTCCAATATGAACCAGCTCAATATTAGCCTGCCACAGTTTTTATTCCCGGGCCATTATTTTAATCTGTGTGCTTGTCTAAGCCTTGTATTCAGTTTTCTATCATGGTATCTGAGCTTCCAGGGTAGATCGCACAGTGATAGCAATCGTAAAGACAGGGTGGAAATTCAGTTTTTCTAGGTCTTTAGAACTACAGAAGCCTTGCTGCAAACTGCTCAACTCATGAGCTTGAGCGAGTCAGGACCTATCCTGAAATTTCTTCACAATGGCCAACATCACCAATTATGTTCTACCTAACCCTAGCCCTGTGTGATCATGAAGAAATTCATTAATTTTTTTATCAGGGTAATCTGTCTCATGCCAGACAATGAGTGTATTTTGTTTGACTCAGTGACACTGGGAAAAGAAATCATTCTTAGAATCAGGACTTCATGGAGTTTCAACAGAGGCACATACTTGTCAGGTAGTTGCTCGTTCTGATGAGGCTCAAGCATACGGCATATTTCACATTACGATGGTGACCCAAACTGTGGGAAACCACCAAAACAAACAGCAGCAGAGGAGCTGGAGGGAAATTGAACCGTGGGATTCACCGACTGATTGAGCTCTCTCTGTTGTCAATAACTGATGGTGACAAGCTGTGAGTTAACAGTAGATGTGTTCAGGGAGGAGAGGTAAAGTTTAGGTCTAAATTGAACTCATAACCTATACAGAGCTACAGTTATGAACCATAAGACTGACTCATTATCTTAGTATCTGTGTGTGGATGGGGAGAAGTTGCTGTTAGTTCCAGTTAAATAATGTGCATTTGACTCATAGTGCTCTTGCTGAGTTGTAATTAAATATTCAGGGAAGGCCAATCTAGTACTGGGGTAAGAAAGCACAGTCCTGTTATCAACTTGTTTTTACTTAGGTCAGGGCAGACTTTGGCTAATGAGTTGTGCCCAGTTTATTATAGTATTATATGGTGCGACTTTGCTGCAAGTCATGCTCTATAGCTGAGTATCCATTGTTGGAATACATGAAAAAAAGGATGGCCTTCCTCTTCCTACATAAAAGAATGCCGTTCAACTACACCATAGAATGATTCGTTATTGAAGTACTATACAGGATCCCAAATGGGATTTATACTTGCCTTGTTCTAATTTAGAACAGATTAAGTTCTAAGGATGAAAGTACAGCTTATAGAATTTTTTTCTGATATAGGTTGTATCACTTCCCAAAATGAAATAAACTGCCTCAGCAATATCACTTTTATACTATTATAACTTCATCTAGGGTATTTGCCTGTACAGAAACGTCATAAAAAATCACTGCACTAGCTAACAGTATTATACTAGCCAAAGGTCCTATAGTAGACCTAGTGTTTATAAATACAATGCTAAAGGTCCAATAGTGAACCCATGTGTTGTTTCCCTGGACACCTCCTCAGTCTTTAAGATACAGAAATTAGAGCTAAGGGAAAATTTCCCCAATCACAGCAAATAACTGTTTTAAATGAGCCTTGAAAATATTTGGGGAGGTTCATACCCATATGGGGTGCCTCTTAGTAGAGCGCTATGGAGGTTTGTCTCTACAAAAGATGTTTAGTTTAATCCAGGACTGAAAAACAAAGGATGTGCTGCTGCCACACTAATTAAAAACAGAGCTAATGTGTTGCTCATGTGTACCAATTTTTCCTGCATTGTAATGTAAATGCTTTTTTAGATGTGGAAAAAGTTTATAAAAGAATATACTACAGAAAAACTTACAGGAATCTGTACTCTTCAAAGAGACACTGGCAGTCTTTTATGTAGATACTCTGATCAAAATGGGCTTTGTACTTTCTATAGGTATGTGCCTCAGATCCAACACCTGTCTAGAGAATTAAAAAATGCCATTTGGATTCAGCAAACAAAATGATAATTAGGAGGTAGGGAAAGTTAATGAAAAATGATGTACTGGATGCTTTTCGGTTCTCACACTCAGACCCACAAACTAGAAAAAATAGGAGACAAAAACCCCTCAAATAACTATATGCATTAATTTATAAATGCATACAGAGTTCAACTACTACTATTGCTTTGAGCCATTTCTGGAAGTTTCTAGATCATACAGCATGGTGAGCAATATTACTACAATTCCACTATTTGAAGGGATATCACTCTATATGGTGTATCTTTTTTTTAAGGGACTGTCTTATACTTTTTGAATCAATTGATAAAGTTGAAGGTGCAATCACTTTTCCTCCTTTCATGTCCTCAGATACATTTTTAGGAATAAAATTGGCTATTAGCCCCCATGTTTTAGCTAGGATTACCATATTTCCAGTTTCAAAAAAGCGGACACCTGTGTGGACATGTAGTAACCTTGCTCTAGCCCAATTATGGTTTGCATCATTATATTCAGATTGAATGCCTGCTTCTAAGGCTCCATCACAGTAGTGATCTGCTTGTCTGAATCCCTCCTGCAGATGCAACCAGGATTTCTCACTTCCTGTCACAAACATTGTGTGGTATTGCTGTGGAATATTGTAGAGTTGCCACATTTCATCCTGGTGTTTGATGTAGTCTAATTTAAAACACACAAGCAGTGATCTTCCGCCATTTCCCTTGGCTTATTCGATGCTTTTCCTAATTTTCAGACTAAATATTATTTTCTTAAATTGTGCCACATTAAATATTCCCTTTCTACCTCTACTATGTGTACCCTTCAAATATTTGTAGCTTAGTGTTATCTCCCACCTTAATCAAAATACAACATATTTATTAACTGTTCCTCATAAATCACTCTCTCCAGCTCTTTAATCAAATAGGCTGGTCATCTCTGAATTTCTTCCAATCTTTCAGTACCTTTCAGGTGATATGCCCACAAATTAATGCAGTATTCCAGATGTGGTCATACCAGAGCCATATAAAGCGGAAATTTTACCTCCCTCTTCATTGTGTGACATTTTTAAATATCCAAAATTTGAGTGATTTTTTTTTTGTAGCCATATTACATAATGGTTGTCTCACTGTTTTCCTCCTTCTATGTTCACTATACTGAAAAATAAATGAAAAAAATGTATCTAATTTCCTCTGCATGTGCCTACATCTAAGGCTCCATCACAGTAGTATTGTACCTGTCTAAATTAGTTCTGCAGGTTCAGTTGGGATTTCTCACTTCCTGTCACACACATTGCCACTTTCAGCCCTGTGAATGCTGAATGTTTAAGGTGTCTTAATACATCTGTACAGGGGTGAGTTCATGTTTTTTTCTGGACTCTTGCCAAGAGGCTGTCTCTAGTTACCCCATCTGTAAATGAATACCTGGTTGTTTGGGCTAGGGAATCCAGGGTGGCTACACACATACCATTGGCTACAGAAATTGGTATGCTTTAACCACACTGGCCTAATGTGCCATAAGGCTAGGGAAGGACCTTTGCCTTGACTCTTACTCCTAGATTTCTCCCTCCCATTGAGTATACGTGTTTCAGCTATTTCTCACCAAGTTGCAAAGTCTTATTTGGGTATTAATTACATAAATCTAAACACCCATGTCTTGCTCTCTCTTCCTCCCTTTCTCTTCTTTATATATGGTTTGTATTATTTTAGCACACAAATTCTGTCATTAATGTGACAAAATAATTCTTTAAACAAGTAATGGTTTTGGCTGAAATTTTCCAGGCTTGATTTTTCTGTCCCTAGCAGACATCTCATTTAGTCATTGCCATCCTGGACAATCTGGCCCCCTTTACTCATGCAGATAAAGGCACAATAGAATCTAATGCACAATCCATACAATTGTGCCCGCTGGCATCCATCTCATGTGCATGGCAGGAGGTGTGATTGTAGGATTGCACATTAGATCCCATCATACTTTATTGCTGTTGCAGGAGAAGATGGGGTTCCCCCTGTACTAGCAAGAAGCAAACTCCTGAAGCTGGGGGCTCCCTCATGGGGGCACCCCATATATCCCTGTGCCTGGGGAATCATGGTAACAGCAATCCCCCAACCGCAGGGTTTCACACACCCCTGAGTCTGGGAGATCATGGCAACCATGATCCCCAGCCCCAGGGGTTTCACATTCCTGCTGGGACTCAGCTGGGTCCTGGCACCCAGTGTCCACAGCTTCAGGACTCTGGGTCCCTATGTTATTGAGACCCAGAACTGGCAGCTGCTGGTGCTGAGAATCTCCTCAGTTGTGAGATTTCCAGCTCCAGATTGGCATGGTATACCCCTGCAGCTGGGAGCTCTGTCAGCTGATGGGGCTCCCAGTTGCAAGGGAAACCCTGCTACACATGCAAACTAAAGCTCAATAGCAACCAGCTGTACAGTTAATATAGATATTTGAGTTCTAACTTTATGGCTGATTGGAGCTTTTTATGGCATGTTAGCTTCTTGCATGTGTAGCTGGTGTTAAGGTAATAGCACAATTAACTGGTTAATTGCATGATAGCTATAATGTGTTATGGGGACCTCTAAGGAACATTGGTGCCAAATAAAAATGCAACTGATTTTTGAATCTCGGCTGCCACTTTTTCTTACTAAAGACCCTGAAGAAAGGGGAAATAGAGAGGCATCACCATATGTTCCCTTTCAGTCAGAATCACCACTGCAAAGCTACCAAACAGAACTGCTACTACTGGTACCACCACTGTCAGAATTTCCAGAAGCCCAATACTAACAAGTCTGAGAGTAGACATGTCACCCATCCAGGCCACAGAAGGAACAGCTGCAGAGACAACAACCTAGATACTTGCCAACATGCCTATTAGTTTTAAGAAAGGCATTTTAGTTTCAGCATCAGCTGAACCTAGGAAGGCACCACTGAGGGTGAAACAATCCCACTGGAACCCAGTGACCTTCTCCTCACCAGAAAGGAAGACCAAATCCAGAATTAGTTTAGCAGAAACATCTGAGCCTCCTGAGGAGAGGTAAACTCTGAGTAAGCATCTGAGCACAGCTAAAAAGATGAGCCCCACCAAGGAAGAGCCAAGCATGGTGAGACACGAATGGTGCTTGTACACGACACCAAGATTCATAGATTCATAGATTAAGGGTCGGAAGGGACCTAGTAGATCTTCTAGCCCGACCCCCCGCCAGGGCGGGAGAACAACAAAAAACCCCAAAAAGAGAAACGGGACTCAAACGAGTCC